ATTACTTTAACAATCACAGGAATTAGAAAATTGTGTCACACCATCCTACTTGTCAACAGGCACTTTGTACTTTGAGCTAAATATTAACTAGAAGGGGAAAAAGTACTGTTATTATACCAATACAAAAGTTTAAGTTAGAGGTAGGCTTTGTAGCTTGCAACACATTAAAACAAATTTCATCAAAGCTAATAAGATATCAGGAAATTAGTTCAAGGATGACATTAAATGTGTCAGTGTAACATGAATGCCACTGTCAGTGTAACATGAATGCCACTGTCAGTGTAACATGAATGCCACTGTCAGTGTAACATGAAGCCACTGTCAGTGTAACATGAATGCCACTGATAATATACCATGAATGCCACTGTCAGTGTAACATGAATGCCACTGCTTGCTACCAATAAAGGTAAGCTGAGGTCATTTTTAAGGTACAAGTTGAACACAGCTGACATTAACAGTAAATCATAAAAAGACAATTTCACTTCGATATCCCAATCCAGTAACTAAGGAAACAATCAATGTAAATTTGATGTTTCTTAAAAGTTCTCAGGGGCTGTTACTCTGTAAAAAAAAAGTTACCCAGAACTAAATAAGAGCTTGACCTTTATCTTCTTACAACACAGCTACCTATCAAATATAAGTGCTTCATCACCACTAAGATGTGAGAAACTGAGTGTAAATTTGACTGATAATGTTTAAAGTTTTCTAAATTTAATAGCCATAACTTGAGAAAGAAAGAAATTAACAATATGAGAATTCTCACTACACAATTGTATATCAACTTTCACTTCAATATCTCCATCCATCAAAGTGTAAATAATTAGATAACTAGAAACAGTGGGGCCAGAACAGATAGTGGAAGCAGCATTATATCAGGTCAGAACTACGACTTCAGAAACATCATTTTCTCTGTTTATCAACATCCTGTCTTACACTCATATTACATACCATATTTTCTGAGTTATAAGCCATGACCTTTTCCCTCGTGAGCCAGGCGTGCGGCTTATATACCGGTGTGACTTATATATAGCTGTTGAAATGGCAGGGTGTTTTGCATATTTTTGAGAAGCAATAGATAGGACACTTTTTAAGAAACATGGGTGGCCCTAAAAAGGGCTGTTTATAGGAAATGAGAAGTGAATCCTTGAAAGCCTTCATCTTCTGTGTTGGAATTAAATAGGACTGCTGTTTCAGGAGTGAGAGCGATAGTGTCATTTATCACCATCTCTATGTCGTTGGCATCACTGATTTTGTTAGTGGTGGCTGACTCTAAGATTTCGGCTGTCCTAAAAATGCTCACAATACAGGATGGGGAGACAGCTTCCCAGGAATCTAACATCCAGTTGGCTAGATCGGAGAGGGTGGCCCTTCTCATTCACCTGGTCTTTGTGAAACTGTGGTCACCGCTGCTCATCCATTCCTCCCATCACTGTCAGATGCCTGTCCTGACTGTTCTTTTGACACTGATGTCAAGTAGTTTCGTCACACCTCAGGGGATGATGGCTGGTAGGGTGTTGTTCTTCTGAATGTGAGTCTTGGCTTCTTCAGTGATGTGGGTGCACATGGAGTCCATTACCAGTATGGTAACACTCGTCAATCCAGGCCACCATCATGTTGTTGTCCAGCCATCCTTTTCGGTTCACCTTCACCACAGCACCTTTCAGGTAATCTTTTTCTCAGAAGCAGTCCCGCCTGGTATGCAGGTGAAATACGCTTTGTCATGTCAAGTCATCTGTATAGATACTGTGTCCTTTGCCTCTACTGTTCTAGTCATCTACATGTCAAAGCAAAGTAGCATTTCATCCATATTTACGATATGGTCACTGCTCATGCCATAATCTTGTATCCTTGTCTGCGTAAACTCTCGAAAGGTAGAGAGTTTCTCGTTGAAGTCTGTTGATAGTTGCTGTAAGACTGTTGTCTTGTTTCTGATGAAGAGCTTCTGCATCATGTGCCGCAGACACCAGGAGGGCCACCCATGAATTTGTCAATCTCCTTCTTGTCTTGTTTCTGATGAAGAGCTGCTGCATCATGTGCCGCAGACACCAGGAGGGCCACCCATGAATTTGTCAATCTCCTTCTTGTCTTGTTTCTGATGAAGAGCTGCTGCATCATGTGCCGCAGACACCAGGAGGGCCACCCATGAATTTGTCAATCTCCTTCTTGTCTTGTTTCTGATGAAGAGCTTCTGCATCATGTGCCGCAGACACCAGAAGGGCCACCCATGAATTTGTCAATCTCCTTCTTGTCTTGTTTCTGATGAAGAGCTTCTGCATCATGTGCCGCAGACACCAGGAGGGCCACCCATGAATTTGTCAATCTCCTTCTTGTCTTGTTTCTGATGAAGAGCTTCTGCATCATGTGCCGCAGACACCAGCGACACCAGGAGGGCCACCCATGAATTTGTCAATCTCCTTCTTGTCTTGTTTCTAATGAAGAGCTTCTGCATCATGTGCCGCAGACACCAGCGACACCAGGAGGGCCACCCATGAATTTGTCAATCTCCTTCTTGTCTTGTTTCTGATGAAGAGCTTCTGCATCATGTGCCGCAGACACCAGGAGGGCCACCCATGAATTTGTCAATCTCCTTCTTGTCTTGTTTCTGATGAAGAGCTTCTGCATCATGTGCCGCAGACACCAGCGACACCAGGAGGGCCATCCATGAATTTGTCAATCTCCTTTTTGTCTTGTTTCTGATGAAGAGCTTCTGCATCATGTGTCGCAGACACCAGCGACACCAGGAGGGCCATCCATGAATTTGTCAATCTCCTTCTTGTCTTGTTTCTGATGAAGAGCTTCTGCATCATGTGCCGCAGACACCAGCGACACCAGGAGGGCCATCCATGAATTTGTCAATCTCCTTCTCTTTGGCCATGGTCTAAGCTTTCATCTGAATGGCATCCTCCCTTGGCCTTCCTTGTCTTCTTCATCAATCTTGAAGATTCCTTTTGTTTTCTCCATTCTCAAACCTGCCTGACATGTATTGAGTAGTGACATGCAGCAGCCCGACAACCATTTTCCTTTGAATATGTCACAACCTCTATCTTAAAAGCGGCAGAGTAACTCATCCATACTGGCATAATGCTTCAAAATAGTGATCTGTGTATATTTAGTGTTTTAAGAAAGAGATAATGGCAACAAGTAAACTTAAAGAACTTAAAGAACAAGAAGAGGATCAAATTTTTTGTCTATACACAAGTTTTCATTTGTTAATAAATTTGTAAACAAGCAATCTGATAAGTCATATTGTCTAATTACGCCTATATGCTGAGAAAACTTCTCACAATGGATGGCTATGAAACTCATGGATAGATCAAACCCAAACCTGTTGATGTTAGGTAGAAACTCATGTCTAACAATACAGTAATCAAAGCTGCTTCCGTACATCGTATCAATGATATATTGAACTAGGTGTAAAGCTTGTGTGAAAATCCTGAGTATAGAAAAAAAGAGAAGATATCTATTGAATTATTCCCTTAATTTAGGACTTTTTAGGATTTAACAAAATATTTTCAGTATTGTAAATATTAAAGTTAATCTATTGTATCAGTTTGTTCCCTTACTTTTCTGAAAAACTGAAAGTATCAATTAACCAGTAATAAGAGTTCATTCATCATCAATTATTTTTTGAAGACATACATATTTACCTATACAATTACCAATTAATGAAAATTAGTGAAAACACCTTTTGTGGGCCTCACAATGCCCATTTATACACATTTTCATAATAACAGACACATTCACCATTTATAAATGTTTAAATACATGTACTGGTTTCTTTATTTTGTTGTTAAAGTGCTTAACATACATGAGGGATAAGGACATGTTACTAAACATATATCTCAACACTATATCACAATAAACTCATCACTAGGACATTGGGTGAAGAGGTCAAATTCTAGAATGGCCGCCATGGTGATCTACGATGTACTCGGCTTTGATGCAGCTTACAAAAAAGTATCACAACATTATAGGAATTTTATCAACATGTAACAGCCTTCATTAATATTTAACAGTACAGACACTGGTAGAGAGGTTGTAATATTGTACATAAAGCCAGGCCCTACCTGTGTGATGGCAATCATTGAAGGTCCAAAACAAGTTCAATATTTTATGTATTTTAAATGAGCAGCATTATTAAAAAAACAAATCCATAAAAAACGGTTGTTTGTGCAAAATTCATTAGTAAACTTTATCACATGTTACACTAACGATCTTGATAAAACTGCCTCTCGTTATCTGTTTCCAATATATCAAACGTCAACAACAGTTGTCATCATATCATAAGAAAGGGTGCAGCTTATATTCCGGTGCGTTCCTACATGTGGATCAAATTTAAAAATTGCCAAAAACCAGCCCTATGACTTAAACTCAGGTGCGGTTTATAGGCCAGAAAATACAGTTCTCTTAAAGAAATGGTGAAGAAAGGAAAGCCCCTGTATGTTATGATTACTGAGGTCAGACAATTGTACAGATTTTATCAAGCACACCTCATTTCACACTATTACAACTGTTCAGTCGAAATCAAAGATTACCCTTCATATAGACTGACAGATTACAGAGATTTAAACCCAACAAATGTTCAATCGTATCTATAGGGTGAAAATTGGCCGTGTTATCACTCTACCACACTTGCTATCCATCGCTATATAAAAATCACGCCTACTCATTCATCTTGTTTGTTGCTAGAAAACACAAAACATTGTCTCCCTCGGAGACTAAATGAATCATAACCATGAATTCTGAAATCATTACTGAATTGTTTGAATTATAAATGAACTTGGTTGCGTCAATAATGTAGTATCGCTGGTGTCATTCCTTTGGTTCTACAGTAACCTTGTTTGACTCGAAACTCTCCAAGTTTTATATACTAGCTTAACTTATTTGAATCATTATCTTGATGATATTTGAGTTAATACTCATTTTATCTGAAGTAATATTCTTGTTGTTTGATTTGTTACTGATGTTTAGTCAAAACTGAAAAAAGACAAGTTACCTACCTGTCGAGTGATGCTGAGAGGAGGCGTTGGTAATTACTGCAGAAAGCCAAGGACATCACCTGTTTGTGATGGTTACACAAAGTAGTCAGCAACCTGCCTCCAGACAAAGCATCCCAAACCTTGACAACATTACCACCTGTAAAGACAAAATCATTCACCAATCAAATATCTACAACAATCAATCTTCTTTATCAACAATCAGTAAAATCACTGTCACCAACAACAATCAGTAAAATCACTGTCACCAACAACAATCAGTAAAATCACTGTCACCAACAACAAATCAGTCACCAACAACAATCAGTAAAATCACTGTCACCAACAACAATCAGTAAAATCACCAACAACAATCAGTAAAATCACCAACAACAATCAGTAAAATCACTGTCACCAACAACAATCAGTAAAATCACTGTCACCAACAACAATCAGTAAAATCAACAATCAGTAAAATCACCAACAACAATCAGTAAAATCAACAATCAGTAAAATCACCAACAACAATCAGTAAAATCACTGTCACCAACAACAATCAGTAAAATCACTGTCACCAACAACAATCAGTAAAATCACCAACAACAATCAGTAAAATCACCAACAACAATCAGTAAAATCACTGTCACCAACAACAATCAGTAAAATCACCAACAACAATCAGTAAAATCACCAACAACAATCAGTAAAATCACTGTCACCAACAACAATCAGTAAAATCACTGTCACCAACAACAATCAGTAAAATCACCAACAACAATCAGTAAAATCACCAACAACAATCAGTAAAATCACCAACAACAATCAGTAAAATCACTGTCACCAACAACAATCAGTAAAATCACCAACAACAATCAGTAAAATCACCAACAACAATCAGTAAAATCACTGTCACCAACAACAATCAGTAAAATCACCAACAACAATCAGTAAAATCACCAACAACAATCAGTAAAATCACCAACAACAATTAGTAAAATCACTGTCACCAACAACAATCAGTAAAATCACTGTCACCAACAACAATCAGTAAAATCACTGTCACCAACAACAATCAGTAAAATCACCAACAACAATCAGTAAAATCACCAACAACAATCAGTAAAATCACCAACAACAATCAGTAAAATCACCAACAACAATCAGTAAAATCACCAACAACAATCAGTAAAATCACTGTCAACAACAATCAGTAAAATCACCAACAACAATCAGTAAAATCACTCTCACCAACAACAATCAGTAAAATCACCAACAACAATCAGTAAAATCACTGTCAACAACAACAATCAGTAAAATCACCAACAACAATCAGTAAAATCACCAACAACAATCAGTTAAATCACTGTCACCAACAACAATCAGTAAAATCACCAACAACAATCAGTAAAATCACCAACAACAATCAGTAAAATCACCAACAACAATCAGTTAAATCACCAACAACAATCAGTAAAATCACCAACAACAATCAGTAAAATCACCAACAACAATCAGTAAAATCACCAACAACAATCAGTAAAATCACTGTCACCAACAACAATCAGTAAAATCACTGTCACCAACAACAATCAGTAAAATCACTGTCACCAACAACAATCAGTAAAATCACCAACAACAATCAGTAAAATCACTGTCACCAACAACAATCAGTAAAATCACCAACAACAACAATCAGTAAAATCACCAACACCAGTAAAACAATCAAGTAGTAAAATCACTGTCACAATCAGTAAAATCACCAACAACAATCAGTAAAATCACCAACAACAATCAGTAAAATCACTGTCACCAACAACAATCAGTAAAATCACCAACAACAATCAGTAAAATCACCAACAACAATCAGTAAAATCACTGTCACCAACAACAATCAGTAAAATCACCAACAACAATCAGTAAAATCACTGTCACCAACAACAATCAGTAAAATCACCAACAACAATCAGTAAAATCACTGTCACCAACAACAATCAGTAAAATTACTGTCAACAACAATCAGTAAAATCACCAACAACAATCAGTAAAATCACCAACAACAATCAGTAAAATCACTGTCACCAACAACAATCAGTAAAATCACCAACAACAAATCAGTAAAATCACCAACAACAATCAGTAAAATCACCAACAACAATCAGTAAAATCACCAACAACAATCAGTAAAATCACTGTCACCAACAACAATCAGTAAAATCACCAACAACAATCAGTAAAATCACTGTCAACAACAACAATCAGTAAAATTACCAACAACAATCAGTAAAATTACCAACAACAATCAGTAAAATCACCAACAACAATCAGTAAAATCACTGTCAACAACAATCAGTAAAATCACTGTCAACAACAATCAGTAAAATCACCAACAACAATCAGTAAAATCACCAACAACAATCAGTAAAATCACTGTCAACAACAACAATCAGTAAAATCTCCAACAACAATCAGTAAAATCACCAACAACAATCAATAAAATCACCAACAACAATCAGTAAAATCACTGTCACCAACAACAATCAGTAAAAATCACCAACAACAATCAGTAAAATCACCAACAACAATCAGTAAAATCACCAACAACAATCAGTAAAATCACCAACAACAATCAGTAAAATCACCAACAACAATCAGTAAAATCATCACCAACAACAATCAGTAAAATCACCAACACTATCACCAACAACAATCAGTAAAATCACCAACAACAATCAGTAAAATCACCAACAACAATCAGTAAAATCACCAACAACAATCAGTAAAATTACCAACAACAATCAGTAAAATCACCAACAACAATCAGTAAAATCACCAACAACAATCAGTAAAATCACCAACAACAATCAGTAAAATCACCAACAACAATCAGTAAAATCACCAACAACAATCAGTAAAATCACTGTCACCAACAACAATCAGTAAAATCACTGTCACCAACAACAATCAGTAAAATCACCAACAACAATCTGTCACCAACAACAATCAGTAAAATCACCAACAACAATCAGTAAAATCACTGTCACCAACAACAATCAGTAAAATCACCAACAACAATCAGTAAAATCACTGTCACCAACAACAATCAGTAAAATCACCAACAACAATCAGTAAAATCACCAACAACAATCAGTAAAATCACTGTCACCAACAACAATCAGTAAAATCACCAACAACAATCAGTAAAATCACCAACAACAATCAGTAAAATCACCAACAACAATCAGTAAAATCACCAACAACAATCAGTAAAATCACCAACAACAATCAGTAAAATCACCAACAACAATCAGTAAAATCACCAACAACAATCCAACAACAATCAGTAAAATTACCAACAACAATCAGTAAAATCACCAACAACAATCAGTAAAATCACCAACAACAATCAGTAAAATCACTGTCACCAACAACAATCAGTAAAATCACTGTCAACAACAATCAGTAAAATCACCAACAACAATCAGTAAAATCACCAACAACAATCAGTAAAATCACTGTCACCAACAACAATCAGTAAAATCACCAACAACAATCAGTAAAATCACTGTCACCAACAACAATCAGTAAAATCACCAACAACAATCAGTAAAATCACCAACAACAATCAGTAAAATCACCAACAACAATCAGTAAAATCACTGTCACCAACAACAATCAGTAAAATCACTTGTCACCAACAACAATCAGTAAAATCACCAACAACAATCAGTAAAATCAATTTTACCTACATTGATCAGTAAATCCATAGTTTGAGTGAAAAAATATATGTATATTTCTCCATGGTTTTTTTACAGGTCAGTAAAAGTAAATCTATAAATTTACATGTAAAAATACATGTAATTTTATGTGTCATGTACACATGTCGCTTGATGTCATTGATAGATCTGAAGTTAACAATTGAATTATAGCTGTTTATTGTATTACATATGAATGCTGTGTACCAGTATAAGCCAGTGTAACTAAGTGTATGTAAGACTGTATGTAGAGGTTTCTCCCCTTACTCCTAACAGAATGTGTCTACAGCACCAGGTATAGACTGCTTGGTGAACACTATTCCTACACTATATACATGTCTGACTATTTTCCATTATCTGCTGTCATTTTTATCACATGGCTTTGTAAAACCTCTCCACATCAGTCTCAATTCAAAGGAATTCATTGATTGGTGGGGAATTAACATGTCATCCTTTCTTCCATGCAGATTTTTTTTATTTACTTAAATGCCAACTATTATCATTTATCTTCTTTGTCAATTAACTTTTTCCTCCATTAAAATAAGTAATAGTGCAATATGCAAAATGTTAATTTTAGCAAATCAGTTCCATGTGAGTTATGTGTTACCCAACTCCAAAACATGGCAGACAAATATTGTAAGGTCTCCCCAGGAGCTGTAAGAATGTATATAAACCAGTTACGTTACAGAATGTGTGACTTCATGATGGATCATGTAACCATATCAGTTATCTACAATTTCATTGGTCAGATAACATTCTTAGTCTATTTATAACTGTAAATGCTGTGTAATTAGTATGTGAAGATAATTATTACCAGTTTTGTGATTGGTTGGATACAATCTAATTGGTGACAATTATTACCTGTTTTGTAATTGGTTGGATACAATCTAATCGGTGACAATTATTACCTGTTTTGTAATTGGTTGGATACAATCTAATCGGTGACAATTATTACCTGTTTTGTAATTGGTTGGATACAATCTAATTGGTGACAATTATTACCTGTTTTGTAATTGGTTGGATACAATCTAATTGGTGACAATTATTACCTGTTTTGTAATTGGTTGGATACAATCTAATTGGTGACAATTATTACCTGTTTTGTAATTGGTTGGATACAATCTAATGGGTGACAATTATTAGCTGTTTTGTGATTGGTTGGATACAATCTAATGGGTGACAATTATTGGCTGTTTTTTGATTGGTTGGATACAATCTAATGGGTGATAATTATTACCTGTTTTGTAATTGGTTGGATACAATCTAATGGGTGACAATTATTACCTGTTTTGTAATTGGTTGGATACAATCTAATGGGTGACAATTATTAGCTGTTTTGTGATTGGTTGGATACAATCTAATGGGTGACAATTATTGGCTGTTTTTTGATTGGTTGGATACAATCTAA